CGACGACATCGCGCAAGATGTCCCTCACCCTATGGGACGGCTGGCGAGCTCAGGAGGAGGAGGAGGAGGAGGAGGAGGAGGAGGAGGAGGGAGAGGAGGAGGGGGAGGAGGGGGGAGAGGAAGGAGGAGGAGGAGGAGGAGGAGGAAGGGGAGGAGGAGGAGGAGGAGGAGGAAGAGGAGGAGGAGGAAGAGGAGGAGGAGGAGGAGGAAGAGGAGGAGGATGGGTCGCGCGACGGGTCGCGGGTGGGACGCGGGGCGGAGCGAGAAGTTTGGCTCGATGGATCCCCGGCGGGGAGGGGCGCCGGGCGGGCGACGGGCACGCCGGAGAGCGGCGCCGAGCAACGGGAACAGCAGGAACAACACGACTCGCCATCGCTCGGACGTCCATTCCGTGTGTTTTTTTCGGTTTAGTTTCGTGCGTGGTTTTTTCGCCAAATGATCAAGGATGCTCCTCGATGGTCCTTGCCGAAGGAAAAATGCACACGTCCGAGCGATGCTGAGACGCGCAAACGACAGCACCCGCACCGCGGAGGCCCACCACAGGCACGCCCTCGCTCGCCTCCCTCGCTCTGCTGTTGACTTGCAGCTGCACTTGTAGCTTGCGCGTGCTGTGTCGGCTTAGGCGTCTGGGCGAGGTCACCAAAACAAATGTGCAGTAACTCCACAGCCACTGGCGGAGAGGAAGGAGAGGGTGAGCACATGGGGAGGGAGGGAGGGAGGGAGGGAGGGGAAGGTGGGGACGGGAAGAGGTGGAGGGGGGAGAGGACATAAGGCAAGAGGAAAGGAGCAGGGCACGGACGAGGTGGATGCAAGCAGGGGGCGAGGCTGGTGGTGGGAGTTGGGCGGGAGTTTTTGTCTAGATTCTTCCATGTTCGCGTCGTGAACTTTCCACCGCGCCTCGTGTGCCCGAGCTTCCCCTCCACTGCGCGGACGGCGGGCGCCCACCGTCCGCGCAGATGCGCTCCCTCTCTTGCTGCCACTGCGCACTTCCCACACGTGCCTGATATCGCCGCCCATGCGCGCGGCCCTCGCCCCCTGGCGTCCTCGGGGGCATCTGATCGACGTCTGCACTGAGGGGTCTTCGATGCGTGGACAGAGAGCGTGACGAGAGTCTTGTCTTCGGGGCGTACATGTCGCTGGTATCGTCGTTCCACCTTAGCCTGGTCCGCCTCTGGGAGGGGGCCCCACACATCATGGACGTCCTCCGATTTCCACAGGCGACCCTCACACGCGATGTTCCCCACGATGTAGCTGATGGCTTCCGGCTTTATCTCTTCGCCTCCGTCCGCCAGCCACTCTTTGGCGATCTCTGCGCGGGCCCTCCACATAGCCATGCTAGTAGTAATTGTGCCCGCGCTGGCACCGACACTGTAGCTGATGGTGTTGGGTTCCTTCTTCGCCTCCAGCGGCCAATGCACCTTCTCGCATTTCTCCCACTCGCGGCTCCCAGAGCTGGAGACCTTCTCGCACATGCTGTGTTTTCACAATTGCTTCTCTCACTCTGGCTGATGGCGTTGGATTCTGGCTTCGCCTCTTCCTCTGCAGCTTCCTCGCACTTCTCGCACGCGTGTCTCCCAGAGTTGTAGCTTATCACGAACGGCTCCACTGGGCCCTTCTCGCAACCACTGGGATTATCGCGTGAATGCCTTAATGTTGAAACTGATGTCGTTGGGCTCTAGCTTCGCCTCCCCTGATGTTTCCTTCTTGCACTTTTCACACACGCTACTCTGATCTTTGTAGATGGTGTCGTCGGGCTCCAGTTTTGCCTCCCCCGACGTAGCCGTCTCGCATTTATCACACGTGCTGCTTCCAACGCTGCAGCTGGTGGCGAATGAGTCGGCGGGGACATTCTCTTTCTCACACGCAGTGGGCTTCTCACACACGGTTTTCTCCGTGACGTAACTGATGTCGTTGAGCTCTATCATCGCCTCTCCCGTTGCATCATTCTCGCAGTTCTCGCACGCGCTTCTCCCAGAGTTGCAGCTGATGGCGATCTGCTCCGGTGTGCCATCTCCGTAGCCACTGGGCTTTCACGCGCGCTGGCCTTAATACTGCAACTGATGGCGTTGGTCTGCGGTTTCACCCCCCCTCTGCACCCTTCTCGTGTTCCTCGCACGTGCTGCTCCCAACGCTGCAGCTGATGACGCTGGGCCCAAGCTCTTTGACGCTACCACTACAGAAGCTGCCGCTGGATTCCGACTTCCACCGCCCTGCTCTCTCCCGAGAACCTAGTCGCTTTGCGCCAGGGGGGAGGGGGTTGTTTCAACGTCCCCCGTACCCCAAGGTGGGCACCACCGCTAAGTGTGCAATGGCGGCCTCGGCTAGTTACCGCAGTAGCCGGCTGTCGACGGGACTCCCGTTTGCTTGGCCGATCTCTCCAGAGGGCCTGGCTTCTCTTGCGGCCTGGCCCCGCCAGGGCTGCGGGCCCACGCAGGGAAGTCCCAGGCCGCCTGCCGCCAAGCCACGAGGCTGGAAGAGGAGAAAGAGGAGGAGGATAGGGAGAAGGAGTAGGAGGGGAGGGAGGAAGAAGAGGAAGAGGAGGAGGAGGAAGAGGAGAAGGTGATGGAGGAGGAGGGAAGAGGTATGGAGGGGGAGGAGGAGGAGGAGGAGGAGGAGGAGGAGGAGGAGGTGGAGTGGGGTGAGGATGAGGATGAGGATGAGGATGAGGATGGAGGATGAGGATGAGGATGAGGATGATGATGATGATGATGTGATGATGATGATGAGATTGATGATGATGATGATGTGATGATGATGATGATGATGATGATGAAATGATGATAATGACGATGATGATGAGGAGGAGGAGGAGGAGGGGAGGAGAAGGAGGAGGATGAGGAGGATGAGGAGGAGGAGGAGGATGGGGCGAAAGAGAGGAGGAGGAGGAGGAGGAGGAGGAGGAGGAGGAGGAGGAGGAGGAGGAGGGAAAGGGGAATTGATACGCAATTGATAGGACGGAGCCCGGACGAGGACAACATCGGGTGAGGATACATCGAGATTCTCTGAGGTCCGGCCGCTCTAGAGGATGTCTGGGGCGCCGCAGCCTTCTCAGAGCGCTCCTGAACGCTCTGAGAGCGTTCCGGAAGGCTCTGGAACGGATTCATCCTCGTCCCAGCCCCGTCCGAATGAATGGGCCCTTCGCAATGCGAGCCCTCCGACTGTGCCGGCCCAACCCCCGAGACTTCTCGGGCCACGGCTCCCGGGGAAGGCAGCGGCGAGACGGCGGCGGCGACATCGAAGACGATGACGTCGACGCTGCGATTGGCCAGCGGTGACGGCGGTGGTGACCAGAAGCCTCCGCGGGTCGGTGTAGTCTGCGGAGACCCTCGGAAGCCCTCTGCGGCCTCCGCATGGATAGCCAGCAAGGGCCCAGGAAGCGTCGATCTGCGATCCTCGAGCTTCGATCCTCGCGTGGCGGCCAGGGCCGAAATCCGCTCAAGATTGGCTTCGGACCCCATCCTTGTGTCCGGCCCCCCCCCCCAGGACTCCAAACGCGCTTGAAAGAGCGTCGAGGGCCTCCTTGATCCGCGACCCCCCCTCCTCGTCGCCCCTCGGCTCCCAGGAGGTGCGGACCTCCTTGGTGCGGACTTCCCCCTGGGCCCCCCCATCGAAGGATGTCGATAGGGGGCCTGGGAGGTCTGCGGCCGGGCGGGCGCGGAGGCACCCCGAGCAGGGCCGACACGTAGGCCTCCTCGAAGCGCGCCCAGGCGGCGTCCTCGTGGGGGTGCCCCTCCGCCGGGCTCCCCCCGAGCCCTCCTGACCATCCGACGACGACGACGACGACGACTTGACGACGACGACTTGACGACGACGACGACTTGACGACGACTTGACGACGACGACTTGACGACGACGACAACTTGACGACGACGACGACAACGACGAATTGACGACGACGACATGACGACGACGACGATGACTTGACTTGACGACGACGGCTTGACGACGACGACGACGAAGACGACAACGACGATGACGGCGGCGGCGACGACGACGACGACGGCAGCGACGACGACATCGATGACGTCGACGGCGACGATGATGACGACAACGGTGTCGACGACGATGGCGGTGACGTCGACGACGAGAAAGAAGATGATGAGTAGAACGCCCGAGCTCAGGAGTATACTCATGTGAAAAAAGGGGTGCGACCCTGCACTAGCATCTGGAACATGTCCCGCTCGATGTGGTGAAAGATGAGACGTTTCATCAATATCCTCCTCTAAGATGTAAACAAACATCGTAGACGTCGCCGTCACCATCGAGGACCGCGTGAGAGAATTGCCTGAGCAACCAGAAGTGATCCAACCCGACTTCGCCCATGGATGCCGATGACGATGGCGACGATGTCGACGTCGACGACGTTGCGTTGCGTTGCGTAGGCGTCATGCGATGGTGCCACCTGGGCCCGACGCCGCACACAGAAGCTTAAGTTACAGCGGCGTCGAGAATCATCAGAAATATCTGCCCCATTCAAGCTAAGCCTTCTGCCCACCTCTCCAAGGCAGCCCACATAATGGCTGATGAAGCCATTCGTCCCCGTAGAATTTGTTAAAACCACGCTCCGAACGCCAGATCCCGACTGTGCGGTGGTGCACTTGGGAGCCCTGCCACTTAGTCATTGCGGTCATCCACGATCTGTCGTGGAATCGCAGCACTCTATACGCGACACGCTTCGCGCAGGCACGCCTAAGGGATTGCAGGTGCCCCCCCCCCCGGCCCAGTTGCGCAGAGGTCGTCGGCAAGTCTGAGGCCAGGGCTCGATATTATATCGCGTGCGGACATCCGCGACTATGGACATGGCCATCTGCATATACTCTGCGGCTGTCTCCCCGCGCGGAGGGCAGATCATGCGACTTAATATGGTGTAGGGGCATTTCGAGAGGCGACTCATCGCCGAGACTGTGATGTGCAGGCTTCTTATATACAATATACAATATGGGAGGGCTGGGCGGACGCATCTATCTAAAGCTCCAAGTCGTTTGTGCAAGCGGATCTTCATACTAGCTTCATACTAGTCGATTCTTGACGACCAGCTTCTTGAACTTTGGTTTTCAGCAGCAGTGGGAGTACTATGTCGGCGAGGTCGGTGAGAGACCAGCCGCCGCAGCCGCAGCAGCAGGTCCAGAAGTTCAGGCGCGCACGCGCTTTGCGGTCGAGGACGGTATGCTCGAGAAGACATGTGACTTAGCCACCAAGCTCGGCGTTGTGCATGCCCAGAAAAATCGCCTGCTCCAGGCGGCAAGTACCATGCATGTTACGCGCACCAGGAAGAGTGCTAACGACCAGGACCAGGAGTATCTTCCCTGTGTGAAAGGAACATGGGGGTATGGCCTTAGCGCCCCCGATAGCATCATGCTCGTTGCAGTCGCTCTTGTGTTTGTGCAGCGTGGAAACGAGGAGCAGCATGCCACCCTTCGCAAGTTGCTAGACAATGTTGTTGCAGTCTGTCTGCAGTCCCAGTTGTTGGTTCAGTTTCCAGACAGGGAGCATGTTCGGTTCTAAAGTTCGCAGGCTGATGATTGCGATTGCGGACCCTGTGCTCGAGGCCACTGCCATTGTGCGTCTCATGAACTCTGGGGAAGCTATTGTTGTGACTGGCCCCAGGCCTGCTGGCTTCCCTGAGCTCGAGGGGCAGTCGACCATCGCCCATCAACAGCAACGCAGTGTGCAACAGCAAGCACTGGCTGATTCTGGCCGTGCGCCAACGTCTGCTGAGAGGCACCGGGGCAGGCGCCCCGCTGCTGAGGGGTGCCGAGGTTTGCCATGTGAGGATAACCACAACTCGTCTCTCAGGATCGTCGGAGCATTGGACTCATTGGAGCCATACCTTACCTTCATTTGCCTTACATCTACCTGTACCTGTCCTTCGCCTTGCCGTACCGTACCTAAGCTGACATTACCTTTACCTTGCCTTGCCTTGCCTTGCTTCACCATACCTCACCATACCTAACTAACCGAACCTTCCATTACCTTGCCGTACCTTACCTCACCTTACGTTACCTCACCGCCGCCTCCTCTCGTCTCCTCCTCCTCCTCATCCTCCTCTTCTTCTCCTCCTACTCATACTCCTTTTTCTCCTCATCCTCCAACTCCTGCTCCTCATCCTCCTCCACTTCCTCTTTCTCCTCCTCCTCATCCTCCTCCCCTCCTCCTCCTCCTCCTCCTCCTACTCCTCCGCCTCCATTCCACCTCCTCCCTCATCGCTCCTCCTGCTCATCCTCCTCCTCTTCCTTCCTGATCGTTCCTCCTCCACCCTCCACCTCATCATCATCGTCGCCCTCTTGTCTTATCTTCTCTCCTCCGCATTCAACTCCTCCTCCTCCTCCCCCAGCACCTCCTCCTCCTCCTCCTCCGTCTCTCGCATCTCCTCGTCGTCGTCCTCCTCCTCCTCCTCCTCCTCCCTCTCTTCTCAACTCCTCCTCCTCCTCCTCCTCCTCCTCCTCCTCCTTTGTCATTATCCTCCTCATCCTCCTGCTCCTCCTCCTCCCGCTCCTCCTCCTCCTCATCATCATCCTCGCCTACTCTTCTCCTCAAGTCCCTCCTCTTCCTCCTCCTCTTCCTCCTTCTTATCCTCCTCCTCTCCTCCTCCTCTCCTCCTCCTCCTCCTCCTCCTCCTCCTCCTCCACATCATCAGCCTCCTCATCTCTCCTACTGCCTCATCCTGCATACTCCTTCTCCTTCCCCATCCGTTCTCCTTACAAACCACTCCACTCTTCCCACCACCTGACGTGTGGGTAAGGCGGACCGTGCGTTTCGCCGGAGACATCATCGCTGCTGCTCTACCCTGATGCTTCAGAGGTGCAACGGTGTCCTGGATGCAGGGCGGGCCTCTTTCAAAGTGTGGTCATCGCCGTGGCGCCAGCTCACATTCGTGCTGAAGTTTCGCAGACGTGGGCCGCTTTTAACACGTGGCTCTCGCCTGAGCGCCGCCCGCATTCTTAAACCATAACTTGCAGACGTTTCTAAGATGGTGGGCGGCTCCTTTTTCAAACTGTGGCTCTCGCCTTAGTGCCGCGTGCGTTCGTTTTTGAATTTTGCAGCGAATAATGTCAATGATTCGTGCAAGTCAAGTCCCATTCATGGCAGTTTGGCAGAAACCGGATTGCCAGAACGCAGCAGTTAAATTGTTTTTTTCATAGCGTGGAAGGTCCAAGACTGGTGTTCTGCCACGGTTCAGGAGTGTTTGAAGGCAACAGTCTTGGAATCCCGGAATGGTGTTTTGGCGCGGTTGAGGATTCTCAGACGGTTGTCTTTCGATGTGGCCCTTCCCGCAATGAACGCACATTCTTCTTTTCGGACCGATATAGGGGGAACTTTTCAGGGAGCGTTTAGTGCAACATCGTTGGCGCGACGTGGGCTTAGGCTGGTCACGGTCCTCCGTATCTTCCTCGCTCCTCTTCCTCCTCTGACATGCCCCCCCGAGGCGGCGTCCAGAACCCCGAGCTGCTCGCAGATCTCGACGCGGCTGTGGCACTGCCCGTGCTCAGGCGAGACGGTCTGGCCGACAGCCGCGGGCGCGGAGGCGAGAGATGCAGCGGGTGGGGTTAGCCAAAGTCCTGGGCACGAGGACCCTCAGATCTGGGCGTCGCGCAAGACGAACTAACAAGAATGAACAAATCGCCGAAAGATGCAGCCACAAGCGGCAATACCTCCAAGAGTCTGGCATTGTCCTCCGAATCATTCTGCGCTCTTCCTCCTCCATTGTATTCCCCGCATCTTCCTCCTCCTCCTCCTCCTCCTCCTCCTCCTCCTCTGCCTTCCCCACTTCATCCTCCTCTGCGTCATCCTCAGCCCTTCCCTCACGTTCTTCCACGTCCTCCTCCTCACCATCATCATCACCATGACCGCCACGCCATCATTACCTCCACCATCCCCACCAGGCGGCCTCTTTCTCAAGCCTTCCGTAGCGCAGAGGCCTGATTCCCTGTTCCCAGACTCCCGACGTCGTGACTTTTACGCAACGCAGACCCCCAGAAATCTCGACCCATTCCCCCAGGACTGGATTCGCATCCCGGCTCGTTTCTGGACGGCCCCGAGGCCCGGCGAAGACCCACGCAAGTCGAAGATGGCAAAGAATCTTCCGTCGTGTTTTTGTTTCATGCGTCCCCCACCGCACGCGCCATCCAGAGAGCCTCCTCCGCCCACGACTACGGGGCCCAATGGGCGCCGTGCCCTGGGCCGCTCCGGCCGCGCTCGCGACACTGAGCGCGGCCGGGCGCGAGCGCGCACCAAGCCGCGGGAGGAAGCGCGCGTGCGGAGAGCAGGCGACGGCGAGGAAGCCACGCCTCCGACGCGGCGATCTCTTCCGCAGCATGCACCTGCGGAGGCCTGGACCTTCCCCGGGGACCAGTCTTTCATCCCGCGCACGGCGCTGCGCGCGGCGACTGCGCGTGCGGGGAGCGGGCGACGGCGAGGAAGCCAGGCCTTCGACGTCGTGGTCTCTTCCACACCGTGCAGCTGCAGAGGCCCAGCGTGGCCAATGGGTGCTCAAGTGGCGGCTGGACAGGCAATGAGGGCAGTGCAGTGCAAGTGCGGCGAGTGGCTGGAACCGTTCCAGAGCACGCCGCCCTGGCGCAGCAACCACCACGGACAGCAGCACGCCGGCAGCTCGGCGGCGGCGTGGTGGGGGCCAGAATCAAGAGAAAACGTTGGCGAGACGGCGGCGTTGGACTTCCTCGCAAGGGGGAACATGCAGCTGGCCAAGGAGATCGAGGAGCTCCAGCGCAAGCACGCGCCGCCGCCGCCGCCGCCTCAGCCGAGGCCGCCTGATGCATGGCAGGCGCTCGCGAAGACCAAGGGACACCATCAGAAGGCGCAGAAGTAGCTGCTGGAGTGCGAGGATGAGCTGGAGCGATTGTCTATCCTCCATGACGAGACGCTCCTCCGCCGCGACCAGCCTTGGAGGGCGCCTTCGACGCAGATCAGGCCCGCGCCAAGGCTTCGGCGGCATAATACAAGCAGGTGGGCGACTACGAGGACGGCCCAGAGAAGGAGGCGGTGCTGGCCTTCCGCACCAAGGTGGATGAGATCAAGCAGGCGGGGAAGACGTCTTGGCAGAAAATCGAGGAGGCAGAGGCGGCGCTTGCCCGGCAGACGGCAGGGGTGCGCCAGAAGCACGTGGAGGAGGCGAAACAGCTGCGCGACCAGGCGGAGCAGCATCAGAAGCTCCTGGTGCAGCGGGTCGAGCAGCTCCTCAGCCTGCGGACGCAGCTCAGGCAGACGCACAGGAAGGAGGACGGCCGGGCGGCCCCAGGCGAAGCCGCCACGGAGGAGCCCGGCGGGCAGGCAGCTGCGGAGCCAGGAGCAGCGGCTGCCGAGCCAGCGGCTGCCCCAGATGCCGAGGCAGCCCAGTGGAAGAAGCAGGAGCTGCTGGACCGCGAGGCGAAGGCCAAGGCCGAGCGCGCCTTCTCCGCCGCCAAGGGGGGTGTGGTGGGACGCAGGCGTGGCGGGAGATCCGCGAGCTCTCGTGTCCATCGCTGGGCCTACCATTCCCATCCTGTAAAGAGGGGCAGGCCAGGCACTGCGGGGGCTGCCGCGGCCCCTGCTGGCGCTACTGCTGGCGATGCATGTCCCGACGCGAGGCCGGCGTCGGGCACGGCCAGCGATCGCCAGCTCTTCTTTGCCAATCGGGCCCACGAGTGCCCCAAATCTCCTATGAATCGCCCCCCCTGAAAAACCGGATCCCCCTCCCAATGCGACCAAAATATTCCCGACCCTCCTCTTCGACGGGGCGTCTTAATAAACCGGACCCCCTAACCTCCAGTCCAAAGGAAAATCCCTAGTAAAACGGACCCCCGGGGACCCCCCACAGTTACGAACAAGGCGCCTCAAAAAACCGGACCCGGGGGACGATTAATAAGGGATTTGGAAAACATGACCGAATCCCAGGAGCGACACTCACAGGTTAGCGCGATGGGCATCTGCGAGACCGACCTCTCGCCTGACAAACAGAGGAAGGTCACGATCGACCTCGATCGAGACGGTTGAAGACCACGGCCACCGCTGCGAGGCCGTCTGGGCTGAGCGAGATGGGATGCTGTGGTGGAGCGATGAGAATCGCGAGGAGGCACCTGGAGACCACCTCGTTCGACCACGTGCGCGTGGCAGCACAGCAAAGAGACAGAGATGACCCCTTCCGAGGCTTTGTGGCGACCGCAGTACACGCGAAGGCGCGCAACGTGGTCTGCGCGACAGCGTAAACGGCGCCGCGGTGGGGGAAGGGCTCGTCGAACATCCAGAAGCTGGCGAGCCTGGCGGCCTTCCTAGAGCCCGTGGACGACCCGTGGATCGCGGCGGCGGACTGGAACCTGGAACCGGAGCTGCTGATGAAGACCGAGTTCCCACAGAAGGTAATTATGAAGGGGCCCTAGGACACACAGATTAATACACACAACTAGCAGGATTCCCATTATTTTCCTGTATTTTCTGTGTTTTTGTCTTCCCCCACACTTCCCATATTTTCCCATATTTTCCTGGGAATCGACGATCAATTGTGTCTGTGTGTTGTTTTTCGACCTGAAATTAGGAGGGGTCATGAAGACTCTAGAGGAGGCGAGAGGGGCACGGACGCCAAGGGGAGAAGGGGTCGCTGCTGGACTACTGCCTGGTTCCAGAAGGCTTCAAGGACCAGGTGTATGTTGTTCCCGTCCTACTTACGGACGGTATCCCAGAAATAATTTCGAGCACCCAGAAAAATGTCAAAAGAGGGTCGAAACAGTGTCGAAACAGCGTCGGGCGAGTGTCTCCCAGGGCCCGGCACGTGAAAACCTTTGAGTTTCGGTATTTTTTGGGGCGCTCGAAATTCTTCCTGGTGATCCAGGCTAAAATAAGTTGGAGCATCATAAGACCGGGTGATGGTCGAAGCGGAGCTAGAGGTGCCATGGAAGGTACATTGCGCTCTGCTTATCACGCTCGAGGGCTCGTACCAAGAGAGGTAGGCGCGAGCGCTGGTGGTGCCCAAAGTGCTGCCGGGGACGCATAGGGCCAAAAAGAGCGCGGACCCCAAGAGTAAGACGAGCAAGATGGAACAGAAGAGGTTGCAGGAGAGGCAGGCGAGGCTCCCCCCAGAGGGGCAGGAGGCCTTCATGCAGCTGCACGACGAGGTGGAGGAGACCTGCCAGGCGCCCACGGTGCCCTTCCTGGTACAACTGAGGAGCTGGAGGCAGCCAGAAGAGAAGTAGTTACACGCCGCTGGTGGATGAGCTGAAGTATAACGGCCCCGTGCAGCAGCTGGACACCCACCTCACTTACTAGGGCCGCGTGGAGCAGGAACAGGGCCTCTCCCACAGGTGCGCCAGGTGGGTAAGCAAGCTGAAGCTCGCGCTGCTGGACGTCCACGAGGCGGAGGAGTCTGAGAGGTCCCCCTGCAGGGGACGACAGAACGGCTTCGACCTGAAGTGGGTGAGTGCGAAGGTCACGCCAGGCAGAGCACACATGAAGTGCCACAGGTCGGACACCGTGTGCTGTGCGCGCACACTGACGCAGAGATACCTGACACTCGCGCGTGGCAGGCGTGATGAGATCCAGCGAGGCTGGGCGATCGGTAAGCTCGAGAGGATCGCCACGGAGATGCTGGACCAGGGCATGACCGACTTTTCCGGCAGCGCTTGCTTCGTGGTCCGGCAGAAGAAGATGATGATGAAGGTAGCGACCCTCTGGGCGGCGCACCGACATGCAGCGGAGGCTGGTCCACAAGAAACCTTCCACAAGAAACCCAACCTTGAGACCCCAGGACGTCCATCGATTTCTGGTATAGGAACGCCACGCTCTCCATGGCACAATGAAAATCCGAGAAACCCAAGGCACCCTGAAGGGGAGGAGGAGGAGGAGGAGGAGGAGGAGGAGGAGGACGAGCAGGAGGAGGAGGAGGAGGAGGAGGAAGAGGAGGAGGAGGAGGAGGCAAGCAGGGTGCTTCTCGGCATGGGCCCCCACTGCAAAGAGAGACCCTCCCGGCGGCGCACCGGCACGCGCTGCTCAAGCTGACGGGCACGCCGACCGCATGGCAGGGCAGGTCCGGGCGATGGGCGAGGCGAGAAGGGTCTGCACCAATGTCACCATGTGGGTGAAAGAGATGTGGAGCGACAAGATGGGCGTGCTGCACGAGCGTGTGAAGGACGATTAGGCCATCACCAACGAGGCCTGCACGGGCGACCCAAGGCCGAGGAACTCCAGGCCTGGAGGCCCCTCTGCCCCGGGCTTGCTCGAGGCCGTCTGCACTGGGTCTGCAGCGGACCCAGCGCGGATCATGAACGACAGGGCGTCCAGATGGAGCGCGTTGTTGCAAGACCCGGATGCGAGCTTCGCGGATATCCAGGGACAGCCGCAAAGGACCCTCGCAGTGGCGAAGAGGTAAAATACCCGCCCACGGAGCATGAAGAATTCGACAGGGCGCTGAACTCCATTAACGGCAGGAAGGCAATGGGCGTGGACGTGCTGAGCCCCACGGAGGTGCAGAGGCTCCCGCAGGAGGCGCGCGAGGAGCTGACGCAGCTGATGAA